AATACATTTGCGGGGTTCGACGTTCAGTTAATGTCATGAATGCCTGGCAACAATAGGCATACATCAGAACAATCTTTTAGAATTTTTGTTGCGGTGAGGAAGACCAGAAATATAACAAGAAACAGAGTTGTCAATTACGAGAGGTACCTTTAAATCATTAACAGGTGAGGGAAGATATACATTCTCTCACGGATGCGAAAGGCTTTCGACCCTCTTGATTGATTAACCTTATCCGAAACAGTGAAGTCACGCTTCCCCTATCTGTTTGAGTTCCCTTTTAAGTTGACAGGATGGTTTCCCGTTTAAAAAGGTTTTCTGTTTCCTAGCTTGTATACTCCATCCTTTGTAACTTGGCTATCATGTACCCAGGGGGAAGGGGGGATACTCCCTATGATGGCCTATACGGGGAGGTTCTGCCAGTTAGGGGTATCTTTTTCAGCCTTCGAGTATAAGAAAGGGTAGGGATTTCTCTAGTTGAAGTATATGATAATAAAAAGGGTAGGGAAATCTGTCATTTGGGTCTGTAAAAGGGCCGAAAGGAACTACAGATAAATTTTATGGCTTTAAAAAGTCGAGAAAATGTTCTATTTTGTGAGTGATTCGTATTTAAAAGACAGTACATTTACAGCAGTTAAAAGGGATGCAAAGTTCTAAACAAGGTCTGTGAAAGGGGTACCATTTGTTAATAAAGGGTATACGAAAGGAGTACCTTTTTCGTGAAAAATGGTATATAAAAGGGTAAGGGGTTGGACCTTGGGGTGGAGCCTCCTTGTATAAACATTTTTTTGAGTACCTCCCCCAGGATCATTAATCGCTACGTCAAGGTTCGAGGTTTCTTGAGATTCGTTAATGAAGTTCTTGACTAAGCATCTGCTATATATGCAGTGTCCTGCTTGCCTAAAAATTGCAGAAAAAGGTGAAACAAATAACCAGGCCGTTAATTTTGGTCTATCTTTTGTTATAAAGCTCAAGGTGGCATTACGTATCCTCTGAACACGAAATAAAAAAGTTGCCTTAAACCACTAAAGTACAATACTCGTCACATTTGTTGAAACACCTGCCTTGTTACGCCCTCCCCAATGTTGATTCACGTATCACTGATTTGCAAATATACACGAATCTCAACATTAATTGTGGAAGGAGGAAAGAAGTACGGCATGCAGGGAAAAGTTAGATCAGTTGGCTGAGAAGGTTTGACATGAAAAATCCTCACTTCCAGTCGAAAGTTTCGACGAAGCTGTTTGTTGGACTTACCTCAGATCATTGTCATGAACCGATATTTAAACTACATTTTATGAAAATGTTTCAGAAAAAACTCTAGTTGAAATTTTTGGCTGCTACAACCAAGCGACTCATAAGCAAATCACTCTTTACGCCTGCCTTATACACACATTTACCTGTCCGTAGGAACTAAACTTCGGCCTCCAGTTTTTTTTTAGAGTTTTCAGCTATTCTGTTCCACCTCGAGGTCCAACCAGTTTCCCTGTTGTATACCATTTTTGACAGCCAAAGGTAGCCTTTCGTCTACCCTCTAGTGACAAATAGTACCCCTTCGACATGCTAGTTTAGAACGCTGCATCCCTTTAACTGCTGTAAATACACTGTCTATAAGTATGAATAAGTCACTAAACCAGGAAGTTTTCTTGCCTTTTTCATAGCCATAAAATGGTCTGCTAGCCCTTTTAGGTCCTTCCACAGACAGCAATGACAGATTTCCCTACCCTTTTATGTATTTCAACTAGTGAAATCTTTAGTATACCTGAAGCCTGAAAAAAAGGTACCTCTTCCAAAGGACAGAATCATGGAAAAGTGCACTATATTTGAGGACTGTAGAACAGTGGACCCCACTGCCAAACATACTCAAGAGACCGAAATCAAATTCTATTCCTATTATATTTACATCATAATTATATTGCACTCTCATTTCCGGTTATATAATCCTCCGTACAAGTTCATTTGTCTCTCAATAGTATCAATAACATCTTCCAGTTTCAAAACCAGTACACACTTTAGCATTGAAACTCCTAGTTTTAAAACTCTTGGGTGCCCCTCTGCAAGCGAGGGGCACCCAAAGACAGTTTCCCGGACTGAAAATATCTGTTCCAAGAATCAAATGTTGTCCTAGAAAATTCAGTACCTCCAGAAAGCCTAACAATTACTAGATGACTGGTCTATTCATTTCCGTCTCACAACTGCGAATACAAAATGAAGGAAGCAAGGCCGAAACCAAGTTTTTTTTATTTCAAGATAGTTGAAACTTATAATATTTCGGCTCTGTTGTAGAGTCATATTCGTATAATGCAAAGGCTTATTTTGCAGTGCGAACGATTTGGACATTGAACCGACAGAGAGTAGGGGGTGGGGGGAGTCAAAAAACGACTCCAAAGGAGAGGTTGACGGGCCAAAATAGGCGAGGGAGAAGGGTAGGGGAGGAACCCTTCCTCTTTGCCTGCCCTTCCCCCTTTAGATTTTCAGTTGCTTTCATGATGGCGGCCTCGATCAATGTACCTCTGGGTCGCGCTTTTGATAAGGCTAATAATGATATTTTAAGTTAAATTACAAAGGCATAATGATATTTTAACTTAAATTTCATAGGCTTGTTAACATTACGTAATATAACTAGAAGACTAGGTAAACAGCCAAACAGGTCTAACTCAGTCTTCAGAAGTTTTAAGTCCTACCATTAACAAAGGTTTCAAAAACAGTGACGAAAAAAGTTGCTAGAAAATATTTCACTTTCCTAAACCTCTAAGACTTTCGGGAGAATAAAATACACTAAGAGCCTTGATACATTCGAGAAGATACAACTGAAGAAGATACATTCGATGTCGTCCACGCCTCGATTTTTCAAAGATCTTGTCTCTTGTCTTATTTGGTCTTCGCCAGTTGGTTGTGTAGTAATGTCCTCAACCTCTGAGATGGCACTCGTGTCGATTTCTATTGGGCTCAGTGGTGCATAAACAGGGATGATCTTGGGTTTGATGTCATCCTTTTTTTTTTTTATATACGAAATGAAAAACGAAACTTCTTTATTTCTGTCGATAGGCAAAGTAACTTTAAGTTGTTCACAGCTTTTATTTTGGGTAGTAATACAGAAACTGAAGCTGCCAGCATTAAGGACATTAGAATAATCTTGTCATTGTTTTATTGTCACATTCAGATTACTAAACAATGAGACAACAAGCGAAATACCTTCTTGGATTCATCAGCACCATCATATGGGTCTTCACGACGGGTAACTCATGCAATAAACCTTAAGCACAGAACATCTTCCGTTATTTATGGTTTATTTACTTATTTTTCTATAAACTGAGTACTTCTCCTGAGCGAAGTTGTGTGGGTGTCTCTTTTTTAGTGATCATCGCTGTATTCGTCAGCATTTTCATATAAGACTTCTATTGTTACATAAGAATAACTAACAATACACGAGACACACAAAAGGGTAAGGCTCACTTCCTTCCATTAAAGGCGATACTCAGGAGATTCTTTCTTAATAAATGCGATTTTTCCCCTTCAGCTCAAAACTCTTCTTCTCCGTCATTTACTATTGTTAAGTGGCTAGTTTTATATTTGTTGTTTTCTAAGTAAGTTAGGGAAACTGTAACATTATCATTCAGTTTGTCGTTGTCTACTTTTAATCATCACTGCAACCAGTGGCAAGTTACCGATGATGCCCTGTTATTTGACAATTCTTTTTATTTAGTTTTAAGGAATTCAAATTGGCATCATAGTAGTCTTCTGGTGCATGGTAGGGCTTGAAGGAAACTTACTCAGTCATCATCAATATGGTCATCAATATAACCATGGCAATGACGTAATTAAGCACCTGACTATCGAAAATTGCTTATATCTTTGCCAATTTTTTAGCACGAAACTTACTCAAAGACACTTGTGTTACCAGCAAAACTGACACCGGCCAATAAAAGATGATGGTGACTTTGTTTATTTGGCTTTCCTTAGTTTTGTTACACGTAAAACTCGTTATTGTACAGCGTTTTTTGTAACAATTTAAACTCCGGGTTCAAACCTACCGGATTCTTGGATGAAGGCAGCGGGCGTGAACGCCGATGGCATAAAATAAGTGTCGAAGGCATTAATGTGTAGGGGATCCGGGGGTACGCCTACCCGGAAATTTTTGAAGGAGGACTTCCTGCGTTCCCAGTAACCAGACATGCTCACAATGATTACGCATAGGATAGATGGTTCTGCCAGGCTGCCACGTTTTAAAAAATCTATACTTTAATCCATTTTCTCCGAGGCCATCATTAGCCATCCTCACCCTCTAATGCAATGTAAATATAAAGCCATTACCTACTGGATTGTCTTGTCGATCCAGTTGTGTTGTTTAGGTTATCAAATTTTCGAAATCGCGCTTAAATCTCAAAGTTGCACCGTTAACAGTTTTTTCTGTTGTTCTCAATAGAAAACTAGAAAAAAAGAAGCAGAAAACGCCGTATTCTGTATTCTTTTCGTTATACTAATACTATTGTCGATTGTTAGATAGGTTTGTGTTACAGCGTAATAAATGCCTAACAACCAGTTTTGAAAGTTTCTCTTATCCCTTAATATTATCAACAGAGATGCCTCAATCTTCTAAGTGAATAAAAATCCTGCGGTGAAGGCAAAACGAAAAAGAAAAATTGTGTAAGAGCTACTGAAATTCGGTCTGATCTCCGGTTAATAATTAAATAAAGATATCATTATGGATAAATGAAGTTGTTACTCTTCTTTTTTCACGAAAGCTCCACCAGAATACTGTAGGGGCGACAACAGGACGCTATAAAATTCGGCGAAATGTGGAAACCAAGCCTCATGACACGTGTACTTGTACTCCCGTTCAATTTATAGTATGTTTTATTATTGTCACAACTATAGAGTTTTTCTGCGAGGACTACGATGGAAACAGAAGAAATCCGAGCGACATTTGGCTGGAAAATCCTCAGCTGAAATGTAGATGCTTGGACAACAATTTTGTAATTTGCGATAGTTTACCTAAGCCCATGTGCCAGGATATTAACGGAATATTTCGAAAGAATATGGACACCTGGATGAACGGTTCCTGCGTGGAATGCGCTTGCAGCAATGGTACCATCAACTGCACTCAAACGATTATCAGTATAACTTACGGACTATATAACGTCTCAGTATTTCCGACTTGTGAAGGTTGCACATCACAAGAAACACAAACTTTCAGTGCTTGCAAAGGTGAGAAATTAGTTTTAAAGTATTGCAGAGGGACTTTTAAGGTTCACCTTAAGTGGTGCTCTGCAGTTATTGTTATACCTAGGATTTGTTTATTACGAGTTATTACGATTTTTACATGCAAAAAAATCGATGCGTCCTATTAAAGAATGTTTTGAAGATCAACAATTCCTTTTCCCTCCTTATTTTAGCCTTCAGCGATAGTAGAGACAAGTTAATCGGCTGCGAAAGCGAGGGACTTTATATCCGGGACGTTCATCTCTGTAATGGAATCGAGGAATGCCCGGATGGATCAGACGAAAAAGGATGTGAAAATGGTGTGTATGAAGTCTTGTGTTATTGATATTTTCTTGCCCAGAATTAAAGGTCCACACCAAACAAAAGGGAGGGAATAATTTTCTCAGACTTGAACTTCACTTAAACGTGACCATATTCCTAATGCAAGGAGAGCTGTCAGTACCCATATTTCACTTTTACTATCACTATTCCCTTGTTCCTTATAGTAAAACAACCACACCGTTTGAAGATCTACGTGAGAAATACTGACATGCATAAGAAGCTTTAAAATCATGGCGTCAGCAGTACATACACATAGACAGGGGCGCACACACAGTGAAAGCATGTACCGTACCGCAAATGATCCTCAACTGTAAATGATCTCCATTGGATTCAAGTTACTGTGTCCAGTTTATGATCACAATGAAAAGAACTAAGTGGATTAAATCTGCCCTCACAAAAAAATTGCAAAAAAGAACGTAACTGTAAAACACCATATACAACTTTAAGAAGTATCTTTGAAAAAAGAAAATAGCTCTTGACCTGCTCAGCAATGTAGTGTCTTGCTTAATTACTGATTAACATTAAAGATAAACTAGACTTAACTCCAACATACTGAGGTTAAATTAGAAATAATATTTTTAAGAAGAAATTTCACAATCCAATCTATCCAATACTCAGTATCAACTTGTAACCGCGAAAGTCTCTGAAACCGGCCCACATATAAACATAATAGTAATAATAATAATAATAATAATAATAATAATAATAATAATAATAATAATAACAATAAAAAGCTGTAACCTTTCGGTACAACAAAAAATATAAATAATTATAACCAACAAAGGTTTTTCGAGGAAGCCTGTGAGATATATTTGTAATGCCATCAAAATGACATGATTCCCAGAATGCCAGCGTGGAAACTCTCAAGCTCCTCCTTCGAGAATGTGGACAGAACTTCAAGTAGAACTATTTTTTTCATTAATAGCTAAATTTCTTTGATGCTTCTTTTTTTCAAATTAGTGTGGAAAGTTCGTTCACTTTCTGCCTTCTTTTTTTATCCTGCAGTAGATGGAAATACGAGATGAGCGGATCCAGTGACGATCAAGGAAGCACAATATTATGATACCCACTTATAAATTGATCAACTATAAAACGTGTCAAAATGCATGTTATCGGCGTTAATTCATTGAAACTCAACAACATTCCTGCGTTGTCGCGTATCAAACTCGGCCTCTGCAATGTTGCATTTGTGCGCAGTGCCAGGAAGACAAGTAGTATGTGTTGTTTACAGCTACTTCAGAAACTCAAATACAGTTTAACCGGCTCTCTTTACAGACAAATCTGTATTGCCAGGTGTGTACTTTTGGTGTCTATGGCTAAGAGGTTCGACCATGCATACCTTGGCAAAAATGCCAAAAGCCGAATAGTGGTAGCAAATAGTAGAATAATAGAATACTGATAGTGATGCCAAAGCTGCAGTAAAAAGGAAAGGGAGAGACAAACAAAGTAGCCAGACTGATACTATTGAAAAGGGCAACAATTCACTATCATTAGAAAAAATCTCGACTCTCTATTTATTAAAACAATGAAACTGAACAGGGATACTAAAAACCGATTGACTTAATCAAAGCCCTCAAGGTAATTTGTCTCTGAGTTGTCCGTCCTTTGGAAGTACGGTAGGTCTAGATACAAATATCCGGATATTTTTTAAGATATTTAGAAAACCTCATGATATTAAGAATATTATTCTGATATTCAGAATTTTGTTACAAAAAAAGTATTGAAATCATGTTTTTTCTAGGAAGCTACTTCGATGCTAATTAGGGCATGGGCATTTCAGTGACAGAAATTCAAACAAATCTTCACATATGGGCCTGTTGTAATCAGATTCAGCAATATTCTCTATTTGTAATATATGCAATGTGGTTAATGTTCGACAAAATGGCTGATGCTGTACCCTCTGAGCCACGTACAAACCAAGCATTAGTGTTACTTTAGAACCGCTTTATACCTCCAGCACCTCAGAAAGGTCTTTCACGAACTCTGCCTGTATTAAAGTGCAGGGGCGTAGTTTTCTTGGAGGCTGCGGGGTACCGAAGTAAGGCTGACTTTATGTGAAATTGTTTAGAGTTTTGTTTTACGCTGTACAAAAGCATAATTACCTGAAACTTGCTGAAATTTGTGTTACTATATTAAATGACAGGCTATTTTTTTGTCCTTTTACTGTAATGTTTATGGAATAAAGCCGGATATTTTTGAGATATTTAGAACTTTTTCGAGAAATTTAGAAAAAAATTTCGAGATATTCCGAAAAAAATCAGGTATTTCTGGAAACATATTTTGGCGATTTTTCCTGATATTTGTATCTAGGCCTAATTAGTACGGTTTGCTGCAAGCTCGGCCGATAAAGAAGGCGCTAATTACTGTCCATGATAATAAAAGTTTCTAAAATTGGTATTTCCACTAACTAGTTAAAATGAACTTGAAACATAGAAAGCAATTGAATCATTTACTCACCGAAAACTGAAAAAAAAAAAAATGTGAATAGCCAGGTCGTGCACGAGATTCGATTGTTATATGAGATTGACTATAACATGATTTGACAAATGAATATCATCTGTTGAAAACTACTGGCAAGTTGATTGGTCGGACGAATTTTCTCACTGGTGAAAGTTATCGTATGTCCAATCACTAGTAAAAAAAATCGTATTGTTTTTCCCGCCTTTCCCTGTCTGCTCTCATCAAAAAAGACAGCAAAGTGATGGCGTCGTCTTCGGCCACTTAAGGTTTCAGTGGAGGAATTCATCGAAGGACAAGAAAGAAAACTGAGCAGAATATTGCTCTGCTGAAGGAATTTCTGACGCTAAAAGGCGAGTCAAGAGCTGTAGAAGAAATTGCCCAAGACGAACTCAAATCATTCATTATAACAGTGAGAAAGAAAGACGAGAACGAAGATTATGAGCCCATTCATTGCGTGGTATGTTAGCCAGCTTTGAAAGGTATTTGAAGAAAAAAAATTTAGGCTACAGCGTAATAAAAGACATCGAGTTTGAAAAAGCAGGAATGGCCTTAAAGTAAAAAAAAAAAAGACCTGAAGAAGAAGGGCAAAGGCGGAAAACCTAATGCTTCAGCTCCTCTCATAGAAGACGACGTCAAACTACTTCACGACAAGGAGTTATTAGGAAAGTCAACTCCTGATGCTTTACTCATACACTTTGGTTCACTAACACAGTCCATTTCAGGCTTCGTGGTTGTAAGGAACATCGCGATATGTGTTGGGGGGGCGTGAAGCTTCGACAAGCTACAAATGGCGAGGAATTTTTAGAGTATTCTGAAAGACAAACAAAAACGCGGACTGTAGAAAATCCCAGAGACATAGGCAAATTAAACAGGAAATGTTTGCGGTTCCAGAAAGTGAGAGAGTTGTCGCTGTATACAAATTATACGCGAAGAAAAGAACATCCGAAATGTACCACGACAACGCGCCATTTTACGTGGCAGTAAACACCTGCAAAAATCACGATTATTTTAAACCATGGTTCAAAAAGTCAGCAGTTGGCTTGAATAAACTTAATTCTCTTCTGCAGACTATGGCCGAAAAAGCTGGACTTGAGCCCAATGCAAAGAACCACAGCGGACGCAAAACAATGATTCAAACTTTAACAAACAACGAAAATCCTGGGACGCACATCATTCAATTGCCAGCTCAGTGTGACAAATTTAATGGTCTCAGAAAAACAACAAGCAAAAATTTCACGTACTTTAAGTGATCTATCAACAGGTAAAGGGAGTAAAAACAGAACGAGTTCATCTCAAAATGCTGAAAATTCCGCAATAGCAGTTTTAAGCGACGGTCAGCAAAGTTAACAAGAGATGTCACTTTTCACGTGCGCTGTGATTCACGGAGGATAATTCAGCATTTCAATAAACAGCTTGAATCAGTCCCCTAAGTTAGCAGTCCAAGAAACAAAAGTAGAATCTTCTCCAAAGAGGTACAAACGATTAAAAGTATTAGATTCTGACTGTGATTAGTCGAATTATATTTAAGCTTACATAAAGAATGAGTTATTTTCTTGAAACTTTGTACACGTTTGTCCTTTTCCGGGTACGGTTTTGTGCATGTTTGAACATTCTCATTGAAGCTACAAATTTGTATTATTAATTGAAGTATCACTTCGCAAAATCAATTTTTTACTTTTTAATTTAACTAAAGAAAAAAGATGTAAACATTGAAATGTTGCAGCGTGTACTGTTAAAAGCAATAAATTTATCCAGATTTATGTCGCTCACTCGTTGTGTTTGTATTAATTTCAATCTGTCTCGAATTTATCGATAAAACCGGTGAAAACGTTTTTTGTTTACAGATTAAATTAAGCTTAAGTCTTGCGTGACTTTATTTAGTTGACTTGTTGATAAATAAACTTAAAACTAAATTTTTATAATCTTTTTTTTAACAGAATGATTTTAAATACAAAAAGAATTCACAACTCCTTTTGAAGAAATTTCCCCGCAAGAGCTAAACAAATGCCTTCAGAAGTTTTATTTGTCGCCAAGAAAAAGCGATGGCCATGGCCGCTCGGTCATTACGCGTTTGTAATCGTTGGCAACAGTATTTGAGTTAAAAATCATCATTTTTGTGCTCAATTATCTCACTGTTTTAGTATATACTAAAACAATTATTCACCTCAGTGTCGGTGGCTAGTAGTGGATATTTACCTGGCTGCTTCGCGGCTCGGTAAAATATTACTACTAGCCACCTCCACTTCGGTGAATAATTGTTATCTACCCCTCCGAGAAAATTTGGTAATCACGTGACCGTACACCGAGCAACCGAGCAACCGTCCGTCCGCACCACATTGAAGCCAATGTTTAATCCCACATTTTCTAGCTAGTTTGGGAGCCCAGGAGCAACTTGATATTGCACTCATATTTCCTCATTTTGCACATCAATGTTGTGATCACTTGACAGCTGTCAAAACAGGGTGTCCGCTGACCAGTATCACCTGACCGTATCGCGGGCTCAGGTATCGACCCATCGAGATCGAGTATTTTTGAAGTTATCCG